GTTCAGAGGACCAATAATCGATTATCACACTTTGGTAATCGTTTATCAGCTTATTTTCAGCCAAAATATCAAAACTTCAGAGAGGTCTGATAGTCGATTATTAGTTCTTGATAATCAATTATCACAGTTACCGTTGCTTTCTAACTGATAGAATTTTGAACTTTTGGACAAAGAACCTTTTGTTTTACACATAACGGTTAACCCCCCCCCCCCCCATTTTAGCATATAAATAGGCACCTAAAACTCTTGATTTACACATAATTCCTCATCGTCTATATACTCTTTCATTACATTCATTACTTGCATTTTTCATAGCTTATGAGAGCCATATTCTTGAGGAAATTGTCATGTTCCTGAGCATTCATTAGTTTACTCATATCTACTCTAAAAGAGAGTCTTGTTCTTGAGTGCTAAGCATTTGTATACTCTTGAAGGGAGGTTTGTTTCCTCGTTGAGGTTCAAAGGAAGCTTGTGTTCCTTCGGTTGAAGTTCTGGAATGTGGTATCTCTGAGCAAGTGATGTTGAGGCTCGTGTGACTCGAGTTTTCAAGTTGCATCGGTTTGTTAAGCACCTTTAAGTTTAACGAAGTCAGTAAGACTTTTGAGAGAGTCTCTCGGGATACTAGATTAGCCACGAGTTGTGGTAAACGAGTATAAAAATGGTGTGCTCTTTCCTTTTATTTGCTCTTCACTTTCCTTTAACTTTGTATTAATTTCCTGTGATTCTGTTTAAACGCTCTTCACCCCCTCTAACATTGGGCCTTTATTCTAACAATTGGTATTGGAGTCCAACTCTCTACAAGCCTGAACCGGTTGAGAGAACAATCTATATAATTTTTTGAGTAGAAATAGATAACATTATATTAAAAAATTAAAGTGTAATCATTACAATAGAGTTGGGGCACTGTGGATGTGAAGTGAGTGAAATATGAGTGCAGTCAGTACTGGTCCGGTACTGAATGACTATTCATTTGGAGTGAGTGGCCGTGGAAGGGTAGTCCATGTGAAATCATAGTTTTATGTTGAAATTTATATTGTACAGCCGGTTATATGGTTCTTCCGGTACAGCTGGCATTTAATTTGGGCATCAAGGGAGAGAGAGAGAGAGAACATCCGTAGCACTGCGGTAGGGAAGGATGGACTGTGCAGAACTAGGAAACCCTAATCCCGATGGGCGATATCTAATTTCGAGCGGGACGAAGAAAGAAGGCAATTTTCGATCAGATCTTCTGCGTAGAAGAAAGAAGGCGGATCAGCGATGAACACTGGCTAATTCGATCGGGTCAAAGAAGGAAGCCGGAAGATTAGATCGGATCTTCTACGTAGAAGAAAGAAGGCAAATCAGCAATGAAAACTATCTAATCCGATTGGGTCAAAGAAAGAAGGCGGAAGATTAGATAGATTTCAGAGAAAAATATTGCAAATTTAACGATATGTTGTTTAAAATGAGTACTATCTTATTTGAGAATGTGTACTATATTTCAGATTAAACATTATTTATTCGTTAATGAATATTATAATTGTCTTGAAAAAATGTGTGAAAATGAATACTACATTATTTCAGAATTAGTACTACGTTATTTCAGAATGAATACTACGTTATTTCAAAATGAGTACTAGGTTAATTACTTTAAAATAAATATTTGTTTTGTGTGAGAATGAGTATTATAGTTTACTTCAAAATGAGTACTACTACGAGACTGTACTTTATTTCTGATACAACCGGCTGTAGTACCCATTTTAGGGAGTATTTTTTTATAGGAAAAATTTATATAAATACTCCCAGAAATTCAGAATTTTCAAGAATACTCCTAAAATCAAATAAAGACTCCTATGCTCCCAATTAAATTTTATGTTTACATGGTTACTCCGATTCTCCCTAATCAATCTTTCTTACTTTTAGGTGTCATTAAATGAGCTTAGTTGGCAAATTTGATTTGTATTTTCTATTTTAAGGAGTAATAATCATTGGCGTGTTCAAAAAAAAATACGGAGTACAGTACAATCAATTATCCATCTCCATTCTTCATACCCAAGGTTCAACGGTAAATCTTTACGAGTGCTGGTGGTCCCAAAGCGGTGAAATATAAAGTCTAGAGGGGGGGGGTGAATAGACTTTATTACAGATTTAAAATCTTTTTCGTTTCTTTTGAAAACGTGAAAATAAGTGTTAATCTAGAGTTCTTGTGAACTTTAGATTGTGTGCGGAATTTGGTGGGTAGAGTGAGCAGTAATCAATATGGATGGGTTAGTTTTCACAGTTAATATAATTGCAAGTAAGAGTAAAGATAAAAGAGAGAGACACGCAAACTTTAACGAGGTTCGAAGGTGGGGTAATCCTTCTACGTCCTCAAAATCCACTATGTAGTTGGTTGTTGAATAATGAACCAACAATTACACTTGTGTGAATTTCTGCACGGTATATCTTCGCAAGGCCAATGTTGCTACTGCACTCGTGCTGGCTTTGTTGTTCCTTCGAAGGTCACGCTTCTTCAACAACTGCAACGTCCGAACAATAGGACTTGCAAGACCAACTTGTAAGAAAGTTGACCTACCCCCTTTCAATCAAGAAGTTTGATCAAAAGTTATATCCTTCANGCTAACTGTGAATGAGATAGCTTTGTTATTAGAGATTGCTTCGTTGTCTATTCATTCATTCACACTTCTCCAGTCTTCCAAGGGTGCTATTTATAGCTGGATTAGATAATCTATCCGTTGGATCATAATAGACTATCCGTTGCATTTGCTGGCTTCAATTTTGAATGAAGATTGCGATTTGAAGATTCCTCATTGGAATGGGTGTTTGGACATACCCAATTGTTTGAGGAGGGATTCCTTTTTCCACAGAATCCGTCTTCTAGCTGTTGTTCAAGAATTCAGAACTGTAGCACTTTACTCTGTTTGTCTTCTAGTGCTTGTTTAGGAATTCTGGACAGACTCTTCATTTTTAGAGGTCCAGACTTTGTCTTCGAGTCATTTGTTCTTGAATCAGCATAATTATCTTCAATCTAGCCGTTGAAAATCAAGAGATTGATTTTTCCTTACCGACGAGTAGAATTTCTTCATTCAAGACTTATATAATTTTTCTAAGTCTTTTCTCACTTGTCCGCTTTTTGAGAATTCCGATCTTCAATGAGTCTTCCGATTCTTAGCTGACAAATCCGGAGGAGTCATTCTCAGACTTCCGGGGGAGAAAGAGATCCGCGCTAGTCTTCCGATTTGCATGACTTAGCCTTCAGCGGGTTGTAGCGAGACATCCGGTTCTTATGTAGTCTTCCGGATCAGAGGATTTTCATTTGCTTGAGAAATCCTTACTTGTCTCTGATATTTCCGATCAAGATATCCAATTTCAATATCACTAAATTTTGATTAAGTCTTCAGGCATCAAAACGCTTAAAGAAATATCACAACTTTATTGGAAATCTCAAGAACTCGGTTTTAACAATATTTCTAAAAAGAAAAATTACATTGAATATTGGGGGAGACCTAAAGTCCCTATTACATTCTAAATACATCATCATCAAAATCTATAATATTTTTCCCAATAATTTCCCCCTTTTTGATGATGACTAACAAGTGTTTAAGAGTTCCGGTCGCTGTACTGAGAACTAATTTTATAACTTTCTTTTAGTTTCTCATAACATACAGCTTGTTAACAAAAACTCTTAAACAGATACAATTCAAATTACAAAAATTCCTAAACCAAGTCTTGTCTTGAGATTTTGTGATATCTTCCGCCATTGACCATTTTCAGCTTCAGCAGATTCTGCTTGGCAGAGCGGTTGGCGTTGCGTTTGATAGATCTTTAATATCCAAAGTGGATATTCAAGATCTTGGAAGCAACACTTCTCTCAAAAAAGAAAAACAAGAACAAAAAAAACGAAAGAAGAAAATAAAAAAAATAGAAAGACAAAACAAAAAAAAATTTGGAAAAGAGAATTGATTGTGAAAAAAATATAAAATAAGGTTTTCAAAGATGAAATAAAAATTTTGAAAAAGAATTTTATGGAAAAAATTTTAAAGAAAATGCTTGGGAGAAGGGAGCAGAGGCAGCACAAAAATTTAAAAAAATTTGTAAGAAGAGTGCGGCGACTACTCAAAAAAAAATAAAGTTTAGAAAAAGAGAGAGAGGGAGGGGAAAGAGATCAAGGTAAAAATAAAAAGAAAGAAATAGAGAGAGTGTTGTTCCAGAGAAAGTGTATGGTATAATCCTGAAAAATACGAGAATTACACCATAAACTTTCTCTACTGCCGAGAATTGCACCATAAACTTTAGATTACTTTTCTTCTCACTAGGCTTTCCTCCATTGCCGTCTATGAGGGTGAGAAAGAAGAATTTCTCCATTGAGGATATTTTTCTTGGTGTTTTTCTCAGATAGTGAATTTGAAGACTTTCATATTGAGAGAGTTGTTTGTGATGGAAATGGATTGGAATGTCTTGATTTGAATAGGGGAGGAGGAGGTTCACGGGTTCCATTAAGTGAGTAGTTGGAACGGTGAGAGTAAAGGAGTTTCAACTTCCAAGAAGTTGAAAAGTGGAAGGAATCTTTTACCGATTTCCAAGGAATTGAAACTGTTCCAATTAGAAAATCAGTTTCGTTTGGTTTGAGAAACGTAACTGTTTTAGTTTGGCTAAGCCCAAAAGAGTGGCCCAAAAAGAAAAGAAAGCTATGTATCAGAGGGAAATTATTCCTATTGGGTTCTCAAGGCCCAAAATAAAACTATCATTTTTCATTCCCTATAGTTCTAATTTCTACTTAGGACGAGGTAGTACCAAAACAAATATGAATTTTATAAAAGAAAAGTGGTACTATTTTTCCAAAGTCCTGTACATTATAAAAATCCTAAGGACCCGTACTTTTAGAGCTAGTCGGAAATGAATTAAGGATTGAAGCTTAGTTTAAGAAGGCAGATTTTGTAGAGTACCTGAATCGGAGATTTCCAATTTTAGTACCAAAACTGAGATATCCGTCTTCCATTGCTTAGAGCTCATCAATAATTCATAGCCAAAAACAATTATTAGCCAAAACTAGTTAAGTTCCCCCTGAATTACATTCCCCCTGTATGCGCTTCAGAAACAAAATTTCTCATAATTAAGCATAATCATACTTGAGTTAAGCATAATAAGCACAAATAAGAGAATTGTTGAAGCAATGTTTAAACCAATCAAGCAATGTTTAAACAGGAAGGTGTTAAGGTGTTTTCATCAAAGCAAATTAGTGTTTTCACATACTTTCCCCCTGGTTTGATGAAAAGAACCTTCAGTTTCTCTTGCGCTTTGAAGATCCGGCAACCTCACTGATTCCCTTCATGTTCCCGCACAGTTCTTTGATGCGCCTTAAATTTTCACGTCTCTCTTCTGATTGAGCATCATTTGAGAAGTGGTCAACAACTGTGCCTATAAATTCTGTTCCATCCAGTCCTGAGCTGGATAGATGCTGTGCTGAGTTTTCCGGATTTCTTTGCTGTGCTTCAAGGATTATATTTGTCATGTTCAGATGAGAAGGAATATAAGATACTTCTCCTTCTTTGACTGCAATAGGGAGCTGTGGTATTGGAGATGGGCTGTGTTGTTGGAGAATTACTTCCATCTTGCGGTTCCCAGAATTTGCGCCAATAAGTCTGAACAGCTTGTATGCCTCCTTTTGATTGTCAATGATCACCTTCAAGTAGTCTTTGGTCACTACCTGATTTGCAGAAGCTACTGCTAGGGCTGATCTGATGTCCATTTGGAGAAGGGACATCTGTTTTTGTAGACTAACTGTGACACTTGCTATTTGCTCCTTGACGTTGGTGATTTCTTTGAGTTGAAGTTGACTGTCAGAGGCATATATTTCCATCGTGTTGCTCACAGTTTCACTCAATAGAGAGATAATCTCCAGAGTCTTGTGCACTGATTTGCTTATTTCTTTGAGATC